CCTGAACCCCAGGATGTCCTTCTCCTCAGCAGCCACATTATAACTAAGAATGTCTCAAGTTGTGCATTAACCGCTATTTATTGCAATTATGTGCGTGTCTGCCTCTCCCCACTAATGTGAGTTCTTCTAAAGCAGGAACCATGTTTGACTCATATTTATATTTTAGCACAGCCCTTGGCATATTATAGGTTTGGGGGATATATTGTTTGCTATGCACTGAATGTTTGTATTCTCCAAGTTCATATGTTGAAATCCTAACCCACAATGTGACAGTTTTAGGAGGTGGGGCTTCCAGGAGGTAGTCATGAAGGTCATGAAGGTCCCTCATGAGTGGGATTGGTGCCCTTATAAAAGGGACCCTAAAGAACTCTTATCCTCTTTTTTTCCATGTGAGAACACAATAAGAAAACAGCAGTTTGCAAACTAGAAGAGGGCCCTCACCAGAACCTGATCAGGCTGGCATTCTGTTCTTGGACTTCCAGCCTCTAGAACAGTGAGAAATAAATTTCTGTTGTTTATAAGCCACTCAGCCTATGATACTTTTTAATAGCAGTCTGGACTTACACATTGTTCATCTAAACTCCACCAGATTTCAGAGCTCCATTCATTTATTTATTTATTCCAGACATTCTTATTGAGTGCATTTTTTTAATGTCAAGGTCCATTCTAGGTGCTGGGGAAACATTTACAAGCAAATAAGACCTCTGTTCTAATGGAATTCACATTTTAATAAAGGAAAACATAGTGTCAAATAAATGGCCAAAGGCAAAAACAAAGTAATCATTGAGGGCAGGCAGGATGAGTTATCCCTATTTTTGCATTACGAGAGAATTTATGTAGGGCAAATCTCAGAATAATGGGGTTTTTTTTTCCTGACAATGATTTGCTAATATGAGAAATATAGAGATTCCATGTGCTAATGGATATTCACTTACACTTATATTTCTATTTATAAACTATTTTATACAATGCGATATATAATCCTTAACAATTATTATAAGCAAAAACATTGTATTTTGTAATGCTGTATGGTTTCACTTTTACGTACATCATTTCATTTTTTTTCTTAAGAATGCAAAAGAAGTTTTATTATCTCCTTGTTATGGGTTAGAAAACTGAGACTGGAGTAAGATCAGTGACCTTATTATATAGCCAGTGATAAAGCTAACATTCCTAAGCAGATTTTCTGATTTGAAGCCCAGTATTCTTTTCATTATACTTTGATGCCTCCCTCACAGCCTTTTCTATCCCATTTTTCATAAAGGAACTTCCAATCATTCCTCTTAGCCTTGCTGAGGCTTTTAATATAATCTTTTTCTCATATCTGATAGCTCAGGAGGAGGAGGAGAAGATTCTTGAAAGATTCACCCACTGCCATGTCAAGATGTTCTTTAATCATCCCAGGTAAGTCAAGTGGTCAATAGTACCTAAGAGCATTCATTTAGGAAAGGTATTTATTAACATACAATCATGTGATTTCACTCAGCAAATATTGACTGAGAGCCACCAAGTGCCAAGAACCATTCTAGGAGCTGGGGACACAATAAGAACAAACATGAGACAGACACACTAAAACATGAAAAGGAACAAGATGCTGACTTCGTGATATTTAAGTGGACACAAATCTTATATTGATAACCAACGTGTGTAGAGAACTATCATAGTTTGATGACAACGTGGACGCTTTGTTGTGGCTTTTACATGGGTATGAGGTTAGGAAGTACGCACATGAGTAATATCCAGTCCCTTTGGCACAATCATGGAGCCAGAACTTAGTTTTTAGGTGTGAAGTAATTACAGTCCCAACAACAAAACCTGTTTTGTGCCACACACAAAGCAATATTGATGATCTGGAGCAGAAATTGCATAGGCCCTTCGCCATGTCCCTAATTTGAAGAAAATTACACATAAAATCACTTAGTTTCATTTAGGACAACTTAAAGCCACAAATGGCGAGAGAAGATTTTTTTAAGGCAGCAAGAGGAAAACGACGGGGAAGAAGGGAGTGTGAAATAATTAGAGACTGTTCTATGGTTTAAGTGGGTGAGTGGGGTTTATCAGGTAGTTGAATCTTAACATATCTGGAAGCCTTTGATGTTAACTGATTTATCAAAAACAAATACCAAGAACAAGAGAAGTATCTCCATAGACCTGCCCACAGAAAAGTGAAGTGTAATTATTAAATGCAAAGAAATAACATATTAGCACTACGTTAGACTCAAAGTGATCTGTTCAAGGTACTCAGACAAATAAGAAGACTTCCGAGTGCCTTAGAAAGACTATCACGCTGTACAGGGAAAACAGATGGGGCAGGAGTTTATCAAGTTCTAGCTTTGCCTATCATTTCCGTTAGTGTTTCGAACTTTCCTTTTTCTAACTTGGTCTGAATTTAAATGCATATTTGTGCTGCTAGCTAAGATAAGGATATATTGTTATCACTGATTATAGTTATTTCTATTATTGACACTGTTTTTCAGAACTGCCTTTAACTTTTAAGCTATTCAGTAATACTTCTGACAGACTTTTGAAGCTTTCTGCTCTCTGGACAGCAAAAATGTGTGTGTGTGTGTGTGTGTGTGGTGTCTGTCTGTGTTTGTGTGTGTCTGTGTATGTGTGTGTGTGTGTATTTTATTTTCTTTAGTTTCCACATGGATAAAGTCATCAGAGACATCTTTGTGTTTTTATGAGACTTGTTTCAAAATGTTCCTTCCTGATTAATAGATAGAAGATTCGTGGTTGGGAAATTGTTCCTTTGTCTCTAAGTATATAATAGAGAGGTAGCTCAATACAATTGTGTATAGGAGAAAATTAATCCTAAAGGCCAGACCTAAATCCTGTCCTGGAGAAACTTCATGCTCAGGACTGTTGCACTACAAAACTGAATGAGCACTCCACAGCAACCAATGCCTCATTCATTCCTGAGCCATGTCCTTGGTGACAAGAATGTTGCAGTCTTTTTCTGATGAGAATGCAGTTCCAATGTAGTGTGATTTAACAACGTTTAAGAGTCTTTCAGGGTTCATTAGACAGTGCATAGTCTATACCTTTATTCTATCCAAATAGGAGTAAATCCCAGGGAGGAAGGGCTCTATGCCTACCATAATTCCATCAGAAATGACGATGAAATCTCTGAAGCCAGCAGAAGCCTAGGTAACATCCTGCAGAGAGATAATAGCACTCTTTGGGTGCTCCTCTTACTTCATTCTACAGGCTGAGAACAATACAAAGCTATAATTGGATTTTCCCTCCTTTATTGTCTCTCTTTTCTACCCCTTCCTCTCAATTTGCACATGATTTTCTACAACAAGGCCTGCCTCAAATGTCACTCTTTCTCTAAAACTGACTTCCACCTAAAATTTATGTTTCCTCTACTCAATTACAGCATTTAGTCTATGGCACTGAACACTTGCTCTCCTATGCTATACTTATTCACTCATTGATCTCATCTCCCTTCCTACAAGACAAAGCCTTGGAGCATGCAGATCATGGCTTAAAAAGAGCCACCAAGTTTAGTTACAGCACAAAAAAAGGTACCCAATGATTATTAGATAAATAGACAAATTCTTATTATGCATCTACTATGTGCCATGCCTAACAGACACAATTTCTGCCTGGACAAGGCTCACAGGGCAGTGGCATGAATGAATGCATGGACAGTGCCATCTCATATACAAATGATGCTCAATAAATTTCAAATAACCATAATAAGAGTAAAACATATGCCCTGAGAGGAGACTCATAAGATGTCACAAGGGATTGTTATCTACAAGAAGGAACACTGTTTGCTTCTCAAGAAATGTCCCAAGGGAGATGGTATAGATAACTTAGGCAATCAAGCTTAGCTTAAACAAAATGTGCAGTGCATTGCTTTGATGCCACAGTGTTCTGAAAGAGCTCTACCAAATTAAATCTGATTCTTTTTGCCTCAACAATTGACCTTAGAGGTTGCACTTACACTTGGCTGAAGCTCCTTTTGCTCTCAGACAGAGGTCTCAACACATCAGCTACAATGGTAATAAATGAGTAATGGCAAAGTCCCACTGTTTTTTCACAGCTACTAGCTCTCAGAGAAGAAGAAGAAGAAAAGGAAAAACCAGTCTTCTGAGCCTTAATGTTACATTATAAGAATTTTCTTTCATCTCAAATAATGAGACCCTTGGGAACACCAGGCTTAGTGAAGGTAAAATAATACATATGTTATATTTTAGACAGGGCACACAACAACAAATTGAGCTACTTTTAGCTAGAGCTTTCCTATTTGCCAGGTCAAAATCACAAAAATCAAACTTTACACTCATCTAGTTCCTTGTGATTTCAATGGCCTTTCACCTGTGTGATTGCATTTAATTTATAAGCACAGCCATCTGTGGGATAAGAGCCTCAATTTGTTAGATGAGGAAAGAGAGCCACAGGGTATTTGATATGGTTGGCTGTGTCCCCACCCAAATTTCATCTTGAATTGTAGCTCCCACAATTCCCACCTGTTGTGGGAGGGAGCCAGTGGGAGGAAGCCAGTGGGAGGTAATTGAATCATGGGGTCGGGTCTTTCCCATGCTGTTCTCATGATAGTGAATATGTCTCATAAGATCTGATGGCTTCATAAAGAGGAGTTCCTCTGCGCAAGTTTTTCTTCTCTGCCACCATGCAAGATGTGACTTGCTCCTCCTTGCTTTCTGCCATGATTGTGAGGTCTCCCCAGATATGTGGAACTGGGAATCAGTTAAATCTCTTTTCTTAATAAATTACCCAGTCTTGGGTATGTCTTTATCAGCAGCGTGAAAACGGACTAACACAGTACTAAATTGACAAACCCAAGGTCATGCAACCAGCTTAAGCGGGAATGAAAATGTAGGATACCTACTTTCAAGTCCAAGGTCGTTTGTGCTGCAATCTATCACTTCATAGATTTGTGGACAGATCCAGTCATTGATTTAGACATGTCATTTGTTTATAAATGAAACAATCACATGGCGCATTAAATAGAGTTGGGTGAACTTTACCTCTTTAAGGCAGCCCATGAAGTTGTTGCTGACAGGGGAGCCAGGCAAGTCAGCGGTACTTGGGCTTCCTCCCACGTAGAAGAAGTCGTCCGAGCCCAGCATGGTATAGTCCTCTTGAGTGTAGCCCGTCGTGGTAAGAATGCCATCCACAGAGATTGTCACCTGGTGGAGGGACATAGGGACAAAAAAAATCCCAACAATGACCTTACGATCCTAACATAAGCCAGTGGCTTCCCCTACTTGTGGCATCACTTTCATTAAGATTTTCATGAGGTATACTTTCTAATTTGATTTGATTTTGGTATGTGCAGCCAAGTTCCATTTTCTGGTCTGCCTCCCTGGGTCTCAAGCCTTCAGTATTTCCCTGCAGACTCATGGAAGACTTTGTTAGAATTTCCAAGCCGGGCACCTTGTTCTACCCATTGCAATCTTTACACAGTCAGGCTAGAAAATGGAACCATCCTCAGACGATATCACTTGTCTCAGTTCATTGCTAAAATGATTGCTTATTTGTTACATGATTGTTATTCATGGTGGTAGTGAAAAACAGCAAAGAAGATATTTGATGATGAAGTTTGTTAGGGGTTGGTCTTTGGTTGTTGATGGTTTTATTTTTCCTTTTTTCTTTTCTTTTCTTTTATCTTTATTGTCATTAATATATTTATTTTGGCTCACACCACGCTGACAAACATGCATTCAGGGAGGGAAGGAGAAGGGTCTTGATTCTGATATGGTCATGGATGAGACATGCCATGGACTGCCCCAGGACACCAACCCCTACCCTCCCTTGGCTCCCATCACCACCTCCAAGGGAAGAAATGACCCAAACCAAAAAGGCAACTCTAACAACAACAACAACAAAAGGAATGATGAGGAATAATAACCAAAACAATAAAAATAATAATGCCCACAGAAAAGAAATAGCACCCTTTTACCCAACATCCATGAAAGGAGCAGAGGGCAGAGAGAAACGATGGGGCCTCAAAGCATGCACACACCATACACCGATACACCCATGCAGAAATCATCTAGAACCAAGAGAGAAGGCGGAAGAAAAACAAAACTGGGAAAGGGTGGGGAGAAATTAGGGAAAGAATAAAAATCCACTTCACACTTACATGCATTGAACAAACTGAAGAACAAGATGGAAGTGAAAAAAAAGCATTCAAAACTAAAAGGTAGTCTTTTCTCTGCCTGCCACCTCCATTACTAAATAAAAGAAAAGAAAAGAAAAGAAAAAGTCCAAACCCAACCCCAAAATATATGAAAGATGAAAGGAGAATGAAGAGTGCGGAAAAATAAAAGAGAAGAAAGTGAAATTGGGTTGATGGTTCGTAAGTTGTTAGTAATGAGGAGGAAAATGAGGAAACAAATTCTGATGTAGGTGGGAAAATTCACAAGACAGGAACATGCCATGCAGAGTTTGTATGGAGAACAAAACTGGTGGATATCCTTTTGGCCATGGTAGGGGAGTAAGGTAAAAGAAGGGTAAGAAAGAGTCTAGGAAGTTGAGTACTTTCCTCCCCAGATCACCTGTGGCAGCCGTGGCCACATAAAAGGGAAAGAGAAAAGGGACTAAGGAGTGGGAAAGGAGGAAAAAAAGAAAAGAGGAAGAGTAAGAGGGAGAGGAAGGCACAGAAAGCAGAAAGTTCTCACTATAAATCTCTGTTGTCTCTAGTATGTAACTTGGAAGTTGTAAAATAAGAAAACAAAACAAAACAAATTTAGCCAAATGGAGATACTTTAAAAAAAAAAAAAAAAGAAAGAAAAGCATTTTTGGGGGGAAAAAAACTGAAAACTAGAGAAAAGGAAACCTTCCCCACAAAATTCAACCAAATATCATTTTTAGGACAAGTGCATCCCCTTCCATTTTTTTTTTTTTTAAGAAAAAGAAAGGCTTGCATTTAATTGAACAAAAATCTTAAAAGAAGAAATGAGTCTAAAGAGGATAAAAGGGGGGGTTGGAGAGGAAAACGGGGGCAACACACGGCAAACCCAAAAAAAGAGACAATAAGAATGATATCTACCAGACAATGTAGTTTGTTTACCATAGCGTGTCCGATGCCTGAGTGCTTTGCGGAGAAGGGGGAAGAAAGGAAATTAAAAATTGTGAACAGAACGATTGTTAATTAAAAAAACTAAAAACAAAGATGAGTCGTTAGGGTGTTAGTACATTAGTCGGTTAGTAAAATGACACATTGCATGAATGATCTTGTGTTAGTTTCTCAAAAAAAAGGCACCCGACACAGAAAAAGAGAGTGGGGGGAAGACAATGAGACCAGGACTCTGTGGAAAACCATGCCACCTGGGGCACAGCCAGAAAAGGAGCTGCAGTCTACATGCCATTGCAGCTCCCTGCTTCTTCCAAATCTCTCTCAGACCAGACCTCACCCGCTACAATTAGCACCATACTTACTTCCCAAGGACTCTTCTGAATGGACACCACCCACTCCCTTCCCACCCTCTAACACAAACCCATTCCACCTCTCCCGAAAGGAAAGACCCCCAACAGGTACCATTCCACATGTAGATAAATAGATACAAAGAACTGAAATACAAATATTTTGGGGTTTATTTTTTTCACATCTGACTATGACTGCAAGGTAGATAAATGATCATGACTTCCTCCCAAAAAGGAAAAAACTTAAAACATTTACAGATCAAACCTAGCACAGAAAGTCTGCCTTATGTAGTGTACTCTAGGTTTCCATGGATAATTAAACATCTACAACCTACTTGATTTTTGTGGATATGTGCAACCAGAGAGGAACATTTTTCTTTCAGTTTAGAATTAATAGAATGCATCAAAAAAGTTAGAATCTTCTTTATTACTCAATAAGGTCATCAATTTGTTTACTTTGCCAGAATGTTTTGGAATCTCTTTCCCCCAATTCCTCTTGAACAATGCTTTTCAAGCTTTTATGTAATTTATTGTATGGATAGGAGGGAAGACTGGCAGGTTAAACATTATTAGAAAAGCCCTCTGGAAGACTGGAAGACTGGTAACCTCAGTTTTGTGTTTGTGGTTTAACAAAAGTTAACACGTAGAGGTAAAGCCATGAAAGTTATAGCCATGACCTTGGAGTTAGGCAAGGTCAAGGACCAATTACCACCCACTACCACATACAAACACACGAATTCCTCACTACCTTGGTCCCTAATCCCAGTTATAGTTTGCAACAGATACAGGTAGTCCACATTCCTTCCTTTAATTGTAAGCCATAATAAAATACCTGGCCTTGGTCCTGACCTGGCTTAAAGGCAAAACCATGAATAGATGATCATGAAGGAAGAAATGAGGAGAGTTCTGCTCCATTTGGTAGTAAGTACTCCAGCAAACCCCAGGTAAACTTTACTCAGATGAATTTTTGCCATAAAAGCCATTCAATCTTACCAAAAATATGAATGAATAAGGCTGCTATAAGTTTGTTGTCAAATATTTATGGAGCTATTCATAGTTTAATTGAAATAGACAGGAATGTCCCACCATTCAAATGTATCCTAGGGAACTCAAACAGATGTTATAAATATTATTTTAATGGGCAAAATAATAATCTTACATTATTCACATTAAAATAATTGAATTTGCAAAATCAACTTTGCTTTTCAGAGATTTTCCTCTTTCAATAAATTGCATTTGGTTGCAAAATTTAGTCAGAATTTCAATGAGGTTCAATTTTAGGTTCACTTTCTCACAGAAGATTAATACTCCCTCTGCCAAGAAATACCCCCAATACTGTAGGGCCTCTGTACCCCTGTCTAGCACAGAAAATTGCACTTAGCTGCATCCTTGGCACCAGACAGATGCAGTCACCTTTGAAACAGAATGCTCAGCCTGTAGATCATGTGCACGTCACAGTACGTCTATACCCAGACCACGGATGAGCTCATAATCCTTCTGGAACATAAGGTGCTTTGCATATTTAGCCACCACACATGGCTGCGGAAGATTGTAATCACCATTTTGCAAATGGAGACTGTGGTGGAGAAAGGTCAAATGGCTTGCCCAAGGGCACAGAGCAGAGTTGGGCCTTAGAGTACGAGGGGCAGGGGTGGGAAAAACATCCAGGGTGGTTTTCCTCTAGCTACTCTGATTAAAACAGCACAAACAATATTTGAATTACAGTTTGGTTTATCCTCTCTCCATTTAAAGGACTCAAGTGGGCCTGATACTATTTTAGAAAAGTGTTTTTAGTAGAAACAAAAGTGAGCCTTTCACACGAGAATTGGAATCATTCCAGAATGGCAAGGAAGGGCGGTGGGAGAGAGTTAGAGAAACAAATTGGTGAGAACCATGACCTGATTGTGCTCTAAAGTACATGAAGTCTCTCCTCCACTGATTAATGCCTAAAGGGTGTTATTTTGTACCTGCCAATCAAAACTAGCAAAAGGTTGTATTTCACTTTCAGGTCTAGTCTTTGCAGCTCACAAGTAACAAGCCCTTATGTATCAGCAAATGGATATTTGATTTGGGTTCTCTTGACAGTTGAGACGTTCTCTCCTGGGTAAGTATGGATGGGGAATGATGAAAGAAGATATCAGCAATAGAGTTCTTTGGCCTTAGAGGAAAAACACAGAACAATATTCAAAAATATCAGATTCATGAATGTTGAGATGATTGGGGACTCTAAGTCTTATGTCATTTGGCATTTTTACCTGAGATAACTGTAATCTCCCAACAGGATGGCTTCCTTGACATACCTAAGTGTGGAAATGTGTTTCAAATGTGTGCCAGCCTATACCATTTGTTTAGCATTAGTAAGGAGTTACACTTTTATCAAACAGAAAACATAGGCAAACACCTATCATTTCTTATGCTTTCACATTGACATTAGAAGACATCAGATCAATCATATGGCAGAAGGAAATTTGGTAAGCACTTTTTGATAAGCACTTCAGAAAAAATAGTGTTTTCTGGTTAATAAAGCCTGGATACCATCCAACTGGATTTAATGACAGATTAGCAAATAGGAAAACCAAGTAACAATGGCAAGCTGGAAAAGTCAGCCTCAGGACAGACTTTGATTTTTATAGGAAATGGTTTTCTTTCACTGACGTGGGCTGATGAGGTATTATTATTGTTATCATTATTATTAGTCATGAAATTGAAAACAACTTCACTTGGCTAAGGCTTTCTGAGAATGTTGTCACCTGACGCAGGTGCCTGCTTAGAATCGGCAAGCGATGGGACTTCCCAAGCACGGACAGAACCAGGAAAGGCTGCTCCAAAGTTGACTTTTTTATTTGGGTCCTTCCACTTTCCAGGCCTCCCAGTCAACTGAAGAGTCTCGGAGGGAGAGACAGGGGCAATAGAGTAGGACCGCCGCATCAAGGAACAGAGAAACAGAGGAATTCAGAAAGATCCCGGCTAATTAATTCCAAAGCTAGAGATTAACGTAAAAGAAAAAAAATAGTTGGGAAAGGGTAGTAAATTAAAAGAGAAAAAGGAAGACTTTTTCTGGAAGGAATTAAAATTATGGCATCGTGGCAATGGCTAACTTAATTAAAAAGAAAAACATATATTCAAAGAATGAGGAAAATCTACGAAACTGCAGAAACAAAATGCTATCCCTAATTGAATTTAACAATAATACGATAAGATTCAAATGTAATTAAGAAAATGATAAAAGGAAAGCAGAATAAAAGGAATGAAAGTACTTACAACTTTTATTATCTATACAACTGAGTTTTTTTTTCTTACATAACAAGCACAGAGGGAGAATTGAAGTATGCGGAGAAACACATTTTAATAATTTTCCATGTGAAATTGCGAAGACTGGGAGAAAGTTAGACTTTAACATCTCTATCCCTGAATCTCCACCCCTCTCCACCTCACACCCGTCACCTGCTTCACAAACTTACTACCCAGCCACCTAGGATGAGCCTTCCAGGCATTCTCTCCCCTCAGCCATTACCTGCCGGAGGTTGCGTGTCACTTTGACATCATGCCAGGCGTTGTCATTGAATTTTCCATTCACTGGCTCCACAATGGCCTCAAAGGCCCCGGACCCCAGGTTAATGACCAAGGAGACCGCACCATCCTTCAGAGCCAGGTTGACATAGTCAGCCGACTTGCCCGTGTGCAGGATGAGGCCGTTACGCTGCCAGGTCTTAAAGGAGAGGGTGATTTCATCACTGCTGCTCTGGATCGGGTTCTGAGACAGGTCGTAGCACAGATACTCTGAGCCTCGGAAAGTGGCCACATTCTCCTCTCGAGCTATAGGAAAAGAAAAGAGGAAAGCAGTCAACACTTGTCTGGCAGGAGTCAGATCTATGCAAATACCAAAGAGAACACACCGCAGGGGTACTGCCCCTGTTCTTGTGCTAATACCAACACAGCACTCCCTCCCATTCTTCCGCAAGTCATATATCGAAACACCCGGGAAACCAGCAGCAGGGGTGACTGCAGAGAAACGACGTGTCCACATGAGGGTAGAAGACAAACAAGATGGTGCAAAAGAGTTTGCTGCCTTTCCTTCACATTTTCTCAAAGAAAAACCTAAAGGGACGTTTCATGCAAAATGATCAAGTGAGGTTCAAGTTGCTTTTGCTTCAAGAATTGCTTTTAAATGCTTGTAGAAGAGCTGGTTTAGAATGGATAATTAACTGTTCTGACAAAGAACTCTTTAGCTTCAGGTAGCTTTTATTGACCAATAACTAAAAAATCAATTACCCTGAAAGATCTGGCTCTGATTTTCATCCATCAATAACTCAGCTAACTTTAGTTTCTATAGTACAGTCCCAAGCCCCGTGGAACATGGCTGGGTTGTTAAGCAGGGGGTTAGACCTGAGCAGGTGATACAGCAGGTAAGGAGAAGGGAAGAGAATGAATTTGATATGTTTTGATAAGACAGCAATACCACTGTTAAACTCAAGACTCTCTGCTCTAGGGTATCCTGTTTTAGATGACCCTGTTTGGACTATCCTATGGCCACAGAACTAGGGTTCCACGGGGCTAATATGGCATTCTCTTCTTCCCCACAGAACTATCCTTCCCCACGGAACTAGGGTTCCACGGGGCCAAGATTGCATTCTACTGGAGCCCATATTCTCTTTCAAGACAATATTTCATAGACTGGGACCCTGTCATTGCCCAGCCAAAAAACCTTAAGCCTGTTTTTCAGGGCTTGTGCAGGCCTCTTCCCTGGATCCATCTTTCTTTTTCCTTCTTTTTCTTTTCTTTTTGAGTCTTGCTCTGTCACCAGGCTGGATTGCAGTGGTGTGATCTCACCTCACTGCAACATCCGCCTCCTGGGTTCAAGCGATTCTCCTGCCTCAGCCTCCCAAGTAGCTGGGACTACAGGCGTGCAACATCACGCCTGGCTAATTTTTGTATTTTTAGTATAGACAGGGTTTCACCATGTTGACCAGGATGGTCTCGATCTCTGGACCTTGTGATTTGCCCACCTTGGCCTCCCAAAGTGTTGGGATTATTGGCATGAGCCACCACACCCAGCCCTGGATCCATCTTTCTAAAGGCAAACCATACATCTTGCAAGGTCTGAGGAGCAGCCATGGGGGACTACTTGCAGAAATGTGGATAGGGCTTGTCCATTAGGCTGGGGCAACCACATGCATTCATACCAGACCCTTCATGATATAGGACAAAGCCAAAGGTGGGAAGAGAAGGGAGCAGACCATAGGCTGAGGACTAGGGATTGGCTGGTTCCCCCTGTGCTGCTATTTCCCAATGCAGAACTCCAAGGAATCCAAAAATTCTAAATTTGAATCTGGCTCTCCAAGTAGTTATAAAGGTATATTTGTCAAGGTAAGAGTATGAAATATATTTTCTTTAATTATTTGTTTTTTCAATTTATAATTTTGACACACAGTGTTATGAAATTCCATTTGTCCTCTTGCCAGATAGCCTTACTTAGAATGGTCTAACTCATACCAGAGTTGGTCAAAAGCTATCAAACGCACCTCATTACCAAAAGAAAATGGCAACAATAGTTGAGATATACAGTTTCCCTCTAAAGATTGGAGGCTACAGAATAAGGTTGAAAGAATTCTATTTTCCCTGCCGGAACTACAATCCAGGCTTATTAACCAAAGCCAAGTCTGCTTCAGCTCAGATCTGTATCAACCATCACAGCCCCAGGTAAACTTCTTAGGCAAAATAAATATTTTCTCATCATAAAGTAAGAGCTGTAAAAAGGAGACGCTTTTATAATGTGAAGAGACTACTAGCCACTACATATTGTTAAATTAATCTTAGCATTATGAGATCATTAAAACATCAACCTCACCTTCATACTCCAGGGAATTAAAGAAGAGATCAAATTTCTCTTGTGTGTTTCAGAGCAGCCCAGTCATATGTGTCTACCTGCATATGTCTGCTTGCACACACACTGGTATAAGCAAAAGAGACCTGTTCACCTATAAATGCTCACAGGGTAGCTTGCACATGTATAAGTAGTGAGCACATAACGCATGCTGGATTTTAGCAGAAATAGCCCCCCCCAAAATAATAAAGCAGAGATTCAACACTGTCTGCATATTTGAAGTAGATCTATCCAATCTCCTAGTGTTCTGTCTATTGTCATGATCTCTCCCCCATTTCTGAAGAAACATCTTTGTTAAAATGCAATTGGATAAGCCCCTGTTCAGGAGACCTGGAGGTGACCCTGATCTAGAGTAGAAGGTGACAAATCAAACGGTGTAATCACAACTAAGCTCTTTTTCTACAGACAGGGATGTCCACAGAGCCAACTACTGTGCACGTCCTTGGCACCACAAGTGGTATATTAATGGGTATCTTCTATAAACATTTAAGTTATACCTTGTGTGCCCACTGAACTGAGATAAATGAGCAAGGAAAGTAGTGCCTATAAAGAGAAGCTTAAATTAATCATCCAGTACCCTTCAAAGGGGAAAAGTTTGACACAGAACAGCAAGGCACCAGATATTATTTAATGTGCTACATGGTGCTTAATATTTTTTATATAATTAGAGCAAGGAGTCTGTCAAAATAATAAATTTTAGAGCTATAAGGGATTTTAGAGATGGCCTGATTTAATGCCCTTATTTTATTAAGGAAGAAATTGATGACTAGAAATAAGTGAGTTGCCCAAGACAACACAGTTAGTTTGTGGTACTCTGGGCTTGGGGCATGTCTGGGCTTTTCTTAGTCTAAACATTCATTATCTTCCCTTTGCCCATCACTCTGGACATTCCAGATGCTCCTACTTGTCTTGTCAAAGGCCACAAATGATTCCATGGAACTGTACATTGACTGACAAACTATCCCAAACTTTGAATAAACTGAGCCAGAAACCAATTCCTCTCACCTTACATGAATCACTCATTCACCAAAAGAAATGTTTCCCTAGATCTGTATTTAAAGCAAAAACACTTCTTTTATGTGGGAGGCCATAGAGGGAAAAAATGGCATCAGTGTAGAGAAGAGAATATCACCATAAATAAATAAGAACTAAAACCAATGTGAGGAAGAAAAGGCCTATGCAAATCACATGCATATTTATGCTAATCTCCATGCAAATACACCGATGAAGATTTTATGTGGCGAAGTGCCTTCCTTTGCAAATATTTAACAGAAATTGCTGTAACCATTCACAACCTTCCCAATCTTTTCATCCAACAAAGAATTTTCTCAGTTTACCTCTTCCCTGAGTCAGAGGAGGCTACCAAGATCAGCATTACCTTGTCGGGATATCTCCTCCATTGGTCAACAAACAATAGACAACTGACATATTCTCTCTAAGTCGTATCCTACATAAGCAAATTTATATCATTTTCAAGTGATAGAATAATTTTCCCCTACACGTTATGTTGTAAGAGGCACTAGAAATGCATAACCCAGTCTTTTTTTTTTGAGATGGAGTCTCGCTCTGTCACCCAGGCTGGAGTGCAGTGGCGCGATCGCAGCTCACTGCAACCTCCGCCTCCCAATAACCCAGTCTCTAAAAGAGCATATCAAGGGCTAGAAAGGAGAAGGAGAAAAAAATGAGGACCTTGAAGAAATCACTGTTTTGTACACTTGCACAACTGACATGATTTTTCTTGTAAGACCCCCAATCTATCTTAATTTCCTTCTAGTAGCTGAGACTCAACCACTCTCTTATCACCTTGAAAATCATACTAAGTTGACAGTAAGGGTAACTAAAACGGGCAAAACCAAATAGTGACAAACATGCATTTCTAACCTTATTCAATCCTTTGAATCCTCCATTAGAAAAAACAAAATAGCACCCAAAATCTGTTTATACTTGGTGTTTATACTGAGAAGGAGGTTGAAGAGACAGTGCAGTCACCTTGTAGATATTCAAGCTAAACAGGTGGAGAAAATGAATGCAGGGGATTATGTAACACAGTACACAACAGCTTAGCATAAAACTACAGCTTGGCAAGAGAGGAGGCACTGACATAGCTAATGGACTGTTTAGCTCCGTTTAAATTATATTATCCCAAAGTTTACAATCAATTGCATAAGTGTAAAAATGAAAAGTGTTAATCTCACTGCATGAAAAGCAGAGCTCAATTCTGTATGACAACAAATCATTTATCCATTATTCGTAAGCGTCCAATTGATTAAACACTAGATACAATCTAGATATGTATAATTCAAGATTTTAAATCAGTTTGTATAAGATACATAAAGTACTGATATTTCAAATGGCTGGATAATTCAATACTGATATATACTTAGTATTAATAAGCATTTACTTAATTCTGTTCTTCACTCTTTTCCCCCAAAAGACACCCAACTTATAATTTATATATTATTATCACTCTATTTCTCTGAGAAATTCCAAAGCAGATTAAAATACTCAGTGTTATATTTTATTACTATGCAATCTAAGAAGTGTGGGGAAAATGCATATAACTGTTTAATTAGGCCTGCCATTCCTATGGCTTGGTGTCTTAAAAACCCAGACTGGGCTTTGAGGGCAAAAAAAATTGAACTTCTATAAGTTACAGGGAACCACTGCATAATTTTACTGAGAGGGATAGAAGGATTCAATCTGTATTTTTAAGAGATTGCATAATCTTTTAGAAATACATTTGAACTACTTTTTCAGGGGTTGCCTGGAACTAGTTCAGCCTAGATGTTGATATAGTTCCTGGATATAGTGAGGTTTGCACTTCACTGGGCAAGAATGTAAGCAGAAGTTCCTTGCAGAACAACCTAAGAGAGGCAGAGACACCAGCAAGCCAGTGAACACAGGAGGAAACCAAAGTGTGGATACTTAAGAT